CTACACACACACACACACATATATATATATATATATATATATATATATATATATTCATGTTACATGCATGTAGGCTAAGTACTGGGTAAGTGCTACACCAACAGGTATTTATATCCTCTTAGAGATCACAGTGCTCCCAATGACAATGCCTTTATTTGCTTTTTCTACCAGAAAGCCAGCCAGAGTTGTTTAGGCACCATACAGAGCCAGCAATGACTACCTGGACTGAGTTGCTGGCTCAGAGGCAAAACATGTCATTTAAATCCTAGTGTCTTTGTAGTTCTTTTCTGTGCTTACAAATGGCTGGCACAGGTCAACCCCTGCTGCAGTCTCTTGCCCTATGATTTGCTACAAAGCTACAATGTTGCAATCTGATCAGAGAGGGAAAGGAGGCTGAAGACATGCTACCTTCTGCCTTAAGTAGGCCAATTACATAATTTCAGCCTGGGCAAAGTCACTTGACCAGAGTTTAAGGGCAGATTGTTAATCATAAAGGGCACAGCTAGCATACAATATGATACTATTGTTGTATATTGTAGCACAATCTCAATAATGTATTCATACAGAGATGTAAAGTTGCTAAAATGTTCAGTAAATGGATCAGTATTTAGGAGAAATTATCCTAGTGCAAATCTTGAAGTGATTGATTTTTTTCAATATGCTCCTGTCTGTTGAATCAGATTACAATTTTACAGGTACATCAACCACTTAGAGCTATCACACACAACGTTTTTACAGGAAACTCATAGGTTTCTTATTTGTTTTTAGCTACACTGGTAAATGCACCCAGGTAAAAAAGTACTGTAGAAAAAGTATTGTTTTATAATTTTTTTATTAATATGACCAGCTTTTGATATGATTGTGCTTTACTGTTCCTCACTTTCAGTGCAAGTATATCAATCTTTTCATCCTCTGTGCAAAACAGCCTCTCTATGTAGCTAATTTATTTTATCTCAGCATCTCTTCTACTGTAAAGCTGACCATATAAGTTGATATCTTCTGAATCTTAGGTCCAGGCTGTCCAGGCTTGGGATCTTAGATTGAGGCTATCCTTGGATCCTCCATATCTGTCTAAGTCAAGGATAAGCCAAAGTCCCTTCCTTCACTATGCCATATCTCTCATTCAACTGTTATCTGCTAGAACTTAAATAAACAATACAGGTTCTAGGTCTTTCACTTCTACAAAAGCCCCATATATAAACTCTATAATTTTTTCTGACAAATCCCAAAAAGGGGCTCCCTGCAATAAAAGACTGAGAGTGGAATTTATCAAAACTGGAGCAGTCAAAATCTGGTGTAGTCATGCACAACAACCAATCAGCTTCTCTCTTTAATTTTAAAATCTTAACTGAACAAACTAAAGAGAGAAGCTGAGTGGTTGCCTTAGGCAACTGCTCCAGATTATGTTTGCTCTAATTTTGATAAATCCCCCTATGAATCCATACCTCTTTGACAGGCAGTGAGCCCAAACACCTCTGACTTTCAGCTCTGCGGCCTCTGGCAAAGCCTTCAGCTTTTGACACTTCTGGGAGTGATGAATACATGCTTCCCTGACCATGTGCTATGGTTCCTCTTCCCAGCCCCTATGCCAATGCTGAGTCCTGTTTTGATATAGAGGTTGTAGAAAGGAACCACAGCATGTAGGCATTATATATTCTTGGAAGTGTTGAACTCTATAGACTTTGCTGGAGGCTGCCAAAGAGGTAAGTGTTTACCGTTTGCTACTGCAGGGAGCTCTGCTTTGGATTTTTTGGGCAAAATTATAAAGTTGCTTCAGTCATGACTTGGGTCCAAGGTCAAGCCTATACATGAGTCATTGAGAGGGACACAGCACAAACATGTTTTAAGCCAGGTCAGATTTACTTGAATGTAGTACTGTCAATTTTGTACTTACAGACACAAACTGGTGTTTGCCCTGACCACCTGTGATCTTGAAGGCATATGCGGACAGATGTGCCTACTAAACGAAATCCAGGATTACACTGGTAGACTATTGTGTCTCGATAACTGAAGCCATCGCCACTTATATGCCCATTTACAATAGGATCAGGAGAACCACAATGGCCAGCTGTTAAGTAAAAAAGTAAAAAATGTAAATTGTTTCAGTAGGAATGATTTTCAGTATATATTAATGTTTAAAAAAATTACATTTAAAGCCAAACTCAAATTACAGGAATAGATATGTAAACAGAGAGATATTATACTAATACCCTTGATTTTCATAGTCTTACTTTCCCTTTTTAACCAATTTGGCTCTCACATGTGTACACTCCCTATAGACCAAAGTAAAGACCAATTTGTGAAAAAAAATGAATACAATTGAAAAAAAGATTAAGGTTTTTTGGAATTTTTTTATTGAAGGGATTGTTGAAAACCTTTGTTGTGTTGCTTGTTAGGTCCCTCCATGATACTTGACCCCTAAGTAAGTGGCTGTACAATTCAATCATACTAAGAATAAATGTATATAGCTGAATGGAAACATTGAAAACTGGAAAATATGATTTACAAATGGATTATGAAATGGCATATAAACATGTTGATGAACAATGTATCATGTATTTACAAATAGATTTATACCGATCCCCCTGAAGAAGCCTACGAGCGTAACGCGTAGGGGACAAACAAAGCAATACAACACTGAATATTAAAATCAAGGAATTATGAATATACATAGTGAAATATGAATTATATATAAAATATTATGAAATGTGAAAAGAAGTAATAATTTTAGGGTTATAAGAATCATGTATATATATGAACAATTATAACTATATGAGTACCCTCAAAAAAAAACCCTGCACAACCTAGGTTGTATAATGTGTAGATTTTTGACTAAGTTTGGGGTGAGGCCTCTATTCACCTTGGGGAGTACTTTGGGAAGTGCCTGTTTTGGAATAATAATCTTTATGAATCGACTCAACAGCATACGTGCCCTATAGGAATCATTTTCAAATTCGGTATCCTTTACATCATGAAATAGTAATAGCTTTTTGATTACATACATTAATAACATTACTTTGATTTTAGGGTTTAAAAAAATAAAGACTATAATTACCCAGGCATCGAGTTTCAGTGCCACTCCACAAACCATTAGCCAAACACTCTCTCACATGGGACCCGACAAGTGTGTATCCAGAATTACAAGTAAATATTGTTGTTGCACCATAAACATTCAAAGTTCCAATCCTGTTACCATTTGGTGGTATAGGTAAATCCCCACATGAGATAACTAGAAATAAATGAAAAAAACTACGTATTCAACAAAAACCAGCTATATAAACAGTATTCCAAACAAAACTATTACTCAGATCACATTAACCACTTGAATTATTTAGCGCTGCAGTAGTTTGACTGACTTTTTTACATTATGTTATAAAACATTTATTATTATCCAATTTTGGGGTAAAATTAAAAGACATGGTCATGTCGGGTAAATAGACACCAGACATGTCAAGCTTTAAAATTGTGCGCACCCGCAAAATTGCAAAAAACGACCATACCCAAAATTGACAGTAGGCGACAGTTTAAAAGCTTTTGCCACTTATCAGTTTAGTGTTATCAGTGACTGACAGCCCTAGAATTATTGCTCTCACTGTGACGTTTGTGGCGATATGTAACATGTTCGGAGTAATGGGCGCAATCATCGTTTTCGCACGTATGCGCACCCGATGCATGTCTGTACAGGTAAAACTCGAATAATTAGAATATTGTGCAAAAGTTCATTTATTTCACTAATGCAACTTAAAAGGTGAAACTAATATATGAGATAGACTCATTACATGCAAAGCAAGATAGTTCAAGCCGTGATTTGTCATCATTGTGATGATTATGGCTTACAGCTCATGAAAACCCCAAATCCACAATCTCAGAAAATTAGAATATTGTGAAAAAGTGCAATATTCTAGGCTCAAAATGTCCCACTCTAATCAGCTAATTAAGCCATAACACCTGCAAATGGTTCCTGAGCCTTTAAATGGTCTCTCAGTCTGGTTCAGTAGGAATCAAAATCATGGGAAAGACTGCTGACCTGACAGTTGTGCAGAAAACCATCATTGACACCCTCCATAAGGAGGGAAAGCCTCAAAAAGGTAATTGCAAAAGAAGTTGGATGTTCCCAAAGTGCTGTATCAAAGCACATTAATAGAAAGTTATGTGGAAGGGAAAAGTGTGGAAGAAAAAGGTGCACAAGCAGCAGGGATGACCGCAGCCTGGAGAGGATTGTCAGGAAAAATGATATTCTAATTATTCGAGTTTCACCTGTATGTAAGGGTGGGGACTTGAAATTTTTTTTTAAATTATTTTTCATGTGTGACATTACATTTTATTTACTTAATTGTTATCACATAAGGGACTAAGAAACCCTACCTATACGATAGCAAAGAGGATGTGACAGGTCCTCTTTATGGAGACATCAGGGGTCTCCAAGACCCCTGTCACCTAGGACCCCAAAATAAGCTTCTGAAGCTTTAGAGGGACACAAGAATGCAGAAGTGATGTATTATACATCACTTCTGCATTCTGACACCGGAGAGGGGACCGGAGGGAGATGTGTACTGATCTCCCTCTGATCCTCTGCCATAGAGCCACCATGCTGGTCCTGGGCTCGCACCGGACACAGCGGACAACGGGAGGGGGGGGGGCGCACATGCCGGCACCTTATACAAGCCATCCGCCGGCTATCACTTGTATGTAAACAGGCATCGCTGCCTGTTTTTACATTTTGGCACTTTCCCGCTTGTGAGTGGGCATAGCTGAACGGATGTTTAAAAACACCCGCTCAGATCCATGGATCTCCTGGCCGGCCGTTTGTTGACAACGGCCGGCCGGGAGGTGGTTAAATATGATATATTATGCTTTCATACATCCTTTTCATCTATTATATTCACAAGTATAGATGTAGTTTTCACTTTACATATAAATAAAATCTCATATTTATCTTTTCCAGAAAGCAGATAGGGAATGTTGATCTACTACTCCAAGATTTCAGATAGCTGGTTTGGAAAATCTAATTTTAAAAACACACAGCTAAATGAATCTGATGAATAACTAAGAGGAAAGAAACACCTCTTTTCTGCTTACTAACTAGAGATGGTGCTGTCCTGATCAGGAGTCAGTGGGGTTGATTTATTAAATCCTTAGCTTAGTGAAGTTCTCCTGACTTCCAACACTCAATAATGTGCAAACAAAAATACAGTTTATTTTCAATTTTCCTTGCATGTAATAAGGTAGCCTTTGCAAAGTGAATTTCCCTCACATTCACTAAGCTAAGCGAAAATTCCTTTGCAAAGTGAACAGCCTATTTGCTTTTAGTAAATCAACCTCGTTAAGTGCACGGCTAGTGCTGGGCTTTTTTATTGGACAGTCCAGTACACTTAAGTTTGATGTAAAGTTATTACATGTTTAATTGTAAAATAAGGCTTTAGTACAAATAATAAAAACATCAGATTTTAAGCATATAAACATAAAAAAATTAAATACATTGAACAAAACAAGCTAGAGTTTCCTTTTAAGCATGTTCCACTGAATGTGTGCTGTAAAACCTTACTTTCTTGAAAAAGTAGACATTTAGTGAACTCATTACTTGTTCTTGTTTTTTATTTGTTTCCTTTATTGTATATACATATTTTAACCTTGAGGTAGCAAAACATTCAGCTTTACTCTTTTAGATAATTTCAACATTGCAAGTCACTAGTACCAAGTAGTTAAAAGATTAAATCATATGCAGTACTTAATTGTTACCTGATTAAAAAAGGATCATTGTTTGACGATCAACAAAAAGAATCCTCAAAAATGTTTACAAATCTGTTGTTGGGATATTAGTATCTACACAGGGCTTATAAGGTCATGGTTTAATTTTCAGAACACATCATTACCATCTGACAGACAGCAATGTTTTATCCATGTGAAAATCTTGTGTAACATCAGAATAAGCAGTGTATGGAACATTTATATGCCATAATAAATATTTTCATTTTAGTTTGTATTTATTCCAAAAACATTCAAGGAAGAACAGTTCAAGATGAATATTTTATGACAAGGATACAAATGTTTAAATAAAATTTAACATTTATGTGTAAATATGTATGAAAATCTTACAAAGATGCATTAATGATGCAATCTTAATGTCTGAACAAATATAATATAACAAGCCAGAGTGTTGCACTTTCAAGCTAAGAATACCTTAGGGTGTCCTACTGCTGGTCATTTGGAAATGTTATGGTCTCATTATTAATGATAATACAGAATGGACAGAATTAATTTAAATTAAAGACTTGAATTCATACATATCTGATCCCTACCCATACAGCTTGGTTTGGTATTGCCTCCACTCCATGTTCCATTAGCTCTACATTGTAGAAGTCTCAATCCACTAAGATAATAACCAGGACTGCAACTCAGCAAGACTTGAGATCCATAATCATTTATTGAACCTGAAACCAACTGCCAGATGACATGTTCAGAGAGCTGTGAATCCAGGTTTGGGCATGTAATAGCTGCAGAAAAAGCACCGTAAGTGAAAATTTATATTTTGCTTAAAAAGACACAAACACATTCATAAGCAGACAGTGGTACAATATGTACATATGTATAAGACATCAGGGCTATATGCTTTCACTTTATTTAAAATATATTTATTCAAACTGTAAGAACACAAACGAAGTAACATATGCAGTCTTGAGAACAATAAATAGAAATGCTGAAAATATAATATAGACTTCTTTTCAAAGGTTTAAAAAAAAGGTGCTTGAAAGAGACTATTAAACAGCTATCATTTTTATGACAATGGTCAAAATGGTCAGATGATGTACCCAAAGGTTTACCTTACAGTAAGTTTTATGGATAGATTTCTATGAAAACTAGAACAATGCATTCTTTCAATATAAAGTATTAACACATCATCAATTCCATTAAGAGCACAAAAAGGGATTTATTAAATGTAATGTAGCCTAAAGCTCCCTTCACACCCTTGTGGTGCACTGTATTGCATTACCACATACATGTTAAAATGCATTGCATTAAGGCAGCTCATATATTGTGAAAAAGCTGGCAATGCTCCTCAGTGAACCTAAAACAGTATTTTAATCTTTGCTGGCAAAGCGCTGCAAAGTAGGTCCTTTGCTTTAGTGTGTTGGAGAGCTATTTAGAATACATTACTACCCAATAACACAACACATGCATGCTGGGGTACTGTGCACTATGTTAGCACACACAGTATTGTGTGCATTAACACAAGACAACGTTATGAAGGGAGCCTAACTGAGTGCCATTGTATCCTAAGCCACTGTCAGTTTTTTCTTTTAGAAAATACTATTTTTTTCTTTTATTTTATCCTTTGGTGCATCTTTAGGTTGCTGACCTTTTTGAGCCTCTTTGCAGCCACTTTCTGGCTCCATTCATGCATGCATTCCAGCAATGGCTGCATGGCATTTACTGTATCAGGGCAAGATCATTGAAAGTGTCAACAGTGAACCATGTGTGTGCATTGGGTGTTGGCACTGATGCTTAAAGTCTCCCTTGAAAGTGCATGTGACAGGGTAAAGAATTAGGAGTACAATTTGCAGACAAGAACAGTGCATTGACAACAGCCATGTCTGAACAAGGAATTTCGTGGCAGGGTTACCAGATATTCTTTTAATGAAAGCTGTAAATTTAAAAATATTTAAAATGGCTTTTGAAATGACATTACTGTTGCCATCACATGGTATTAATGTTAAAAATGTTTTGAGGTTTTAACAATGAGGTTTACATCCACTTCAAGAACAGTGCGGTCATGCAAATCATCTATTTATGCTCTAGTGAACAAATGTACATCCATAGCAATGATGTAATGAAATCAAATCATGAAGCCTTTTTTTCAGCTCTCATAGATGTTTCAGGTTTGTTGGCCAACACCAATGCAATTTATAAAAGATAGGGCTTATATGGAATAGGACTTGGAGAGCAGCAAGGACTTCACCATAACTTGACTGGCTATTCAGTCTTGTAATTGCTCAGGCTCTGCCCCAGAGATGATGCCTCTCATACCTTGCACTGATGGTGACCAACAAAACTGAAACTTGCAGGCTAGTTGAAATAAGTTTAAATTGCATCTTAACTTTACATTGTATCATTGTTGTACTTTGCAGTTGTCACGATATCCAGAAATCCGTGCCAGATTTTGCCTTTGCTTCCTGGACCATGACTGTCAGCCTATGGCGTTTCACAAGGCTGCAGCCAATCTGCACCCCCCCCCCCCCTTTTTGGAACTTTTTCAC